AGATCTTAAAAAACAAAACAATATAACCATGCATAATTTAAAAATTTTTCTTTTTCAAGCAAAATTAGGATGATGAAATCCTAGGATCATGGGACAATAACAACAAATCTAATATTCATGTTGTCAGTATCTTGGAAGGAGAGAATACATACTATAACTTGTTTTTTAAATACCCAATTTGATGTGTATTCTTCTGGGCTTTCTCGGTATATAACTAAAACATTCACTTATACCAACATCGTTACACATAAGTCTCAAGTTTTTTTCTCATTTGAAAAATGGACTGTGGCATATATAATATTTTCCAACTTATTTCTTTCACTTAACATCTTCTGAGAAGATGAAGTAGATGTACTTTTCCTATTCCTCCTATTAAGTATAACTAAAAACCCAGACATTAGAAAAACAAACAGAAGATGACTCTGAAAGGTGGAAAGACAAACACTAGCTAGGGATCTTGAACTTCAGAAAATGACGCAGTGCTGAGTTCCCTGGAATTTCTTTTTGCTTTATGCAGCCCAGACTTAGAGCTGAAGAAGCTGGCAACCTGGTGCAAACAAAAAAGCCCCAACAAAAGTCTGCTCTCTCTAGCCAAAGGACCAGGAAAGGGAAAATCTAGTAACAGGAAACTTTTAGATAATAACTGCCATTCTCCAGCCAAACACCACAGACAAGAATATGGCACCACCCCCACACACGTCATCAAAGGCTAAGTGGAGAACATAGACTTCCCCTCTTGTGGGGCTGTGATAAGATGTTCCAAACTTTCATCCTCACTGACCAGTTATGAGAGTTCCACTAACAGTGTCAGTGGAGACCACACAGGGAGCCTGGATTTTCACCCCCACCCAGTAGCACTGAGGCACACCTCTCATCCATGCTTAAGTATTGTCAGAAGAGATCTAATGAAAGTCAGGGCTTTTACCATCACCCAATGGCAGCAAGACCACTCCCACCGTGGTGTCAGGGGATACCACACAGGGAGCTGAAATTGCTACCCTCACCCAGCAGTAATAAGAAGGCATGTCCATCCTGGGTGTTGGTAGAGGTTGAGTGGTGAAACTGGACTTCTATTTCCACCTGTAAGTAACAAGGTGGCATTCTCAATTTCCCTTCTGGAATGGTACCAGAGAAAATCAGATTAAACAAAAAGCTTGAAGAAAAGCCAGAGTTTTGTGTATAATATAAAAATGCCCAAATTTCAACTGAAAAGAAATCATCAAACCAAGAACTATGAAGATCTCAAATTGAGTGAAAAATTAAATAATAGGTGACACCACCACAGTAAGAGAAATACTAGAATTATGTGAAAAAGATTTTAAAGCAGCCATCATAAAAATGCTTCAATGAGCAATTATGAACATGCATGAAACAAATGAAAAAATAGAAAACCTTAAAGAAATAAAAAATTCAAAGAAGAATCAAACAGAAATTTTAGACTAAAAATACAATAAACCAAAATAAAAAGCTCAGTGGAAGGTTTCACAATGGCAGGAAATAATCACTGAATGAGAATGTGCCTAACACACATGAGGTCCTGGGTTTAATCCCTAGTACCTCCATTAATAAACAAACAAACAAACCCAGTTACCACCTCCAAAACAAGGAAAATGAAAAATTAAAAAAAAAAAAAAGAATATGAAACAGAATATGTATGACTGAATCACGATGGTGTACACCAGAAACTAATATAACATTGCAAATCAACTATACTTCAATTAAAAAAATCAGTTAATGTAATCCACTATTATACTCTTAATCCACTGTTAACAGACTAAACAAAAAAATCATATAATCCTATCAATTGATGCAGAAAACACATTTGGCAAAATAAAAACTCTTAAAAAATAGGAATAGAGGGAATCTTTCTCAACTTGATAAAGAGTATCCGCAAGAAAACCTTGCAGTTAATAGTTAAACTCTGCATGTTTTTGCCCCCTAGGATTGGAATCCAGGTAAGTATGTCACTTCTCACTGCTCTTTTTCAACATAATGCTGTAAATTCCAGCCACCGCAACAACTCAAGGGAAACAAAAGTCTTACAGAGAAAAAGGGAAGAAATAAAACTGTTCCTATTTGCAGATGACATGATGGTTTATATAGAAAACCCCAAAGAATCTATAAAAAAAAAACTGGAACTATCAGTGAGTTCAGTAAGGATAAAAGATAAACATACACAACTCAATTGTATCTCTACACACTAGTAGTGAACATGCAGACAGCAAAATAAAAAAAAAATGAAACACCATTTACAATTTTTCAAAAAAAGAAAATTTATAGGTGTAAATCTACTAAAACATGCTGGAAACTACACAATGCTGAGGAAAGAAATCAAAGATAAATGGAGAGATATATCACGTTCATTGACTGGAAGACTCAATACAGTAAAGATGTCAACTGTCCCCCAGATTGATAAACATGTTTAATGCAATTCCTACCAAAATCTAGGCAAGATTTTTTGCATATAGAAACATTACTCTAAAATATCTATGAAAAGGAAAAGAAACTAGAATAGTTGAAACAACTTTGAAAAAGAAGAATAAAGTGGAAAAAACCTGTCTATCCAACTTCAAGACTTAACGTAGCTGCATTAGTTAAGTTGGTGGAGGGGTACACAGATCAATGGAGCATTATAGACAACCTAGAAGCAAACCCATATGAATATGACAAAATGATTTTTGGCAAAAGCACAAAAGCATTTTTCAATGGAGGGAAGACAGCCTTTCAACAAACAGTGCTGGAACAATTGGTCATTCTTAAGCAAAACAGTAAGTGCTCTAAATTTCACATCTTATACAAAAGTCAACTCAAAATGGGTCATAAACTTAATGTAAAATATGAAACTATAAAACCTTTAGAAAAGAGTAAAGGAGACCATTTTTCATGACCCAGAGATGAGCAATGAGTTACACTTGAAACCAAGCACATAAAAGGAAAAATTAATAAATTGAACTTTTTCAAAATTAAAAACTATTGTTCTGTGAATGATTTATTAAGAGGATAAAAAGACAAGCTACATATTGGGCATATTGGGAGAAAATATTAGCAAACCAGGTATCTAACAAAGGACTAGTATCCAGAATATATAAAGGACTCAACATTCAACACTAATAAAATAATGTTTAACATCACCAGTCAGAAGGGAATGTAAATTAAAATCACATGGAGATATAATTATACATCATCAGAAAGCTAAGATTTTTAAAAATATTGACAACATTAAATGCTGGTGAGGATAGATCACTCATGCATTTCTGGTAGGGATGTAAAACAGTGTAGCCAATCTGGAAAACAGTTTGGCAGTTTATTAAGAAACTAAAGCATAAAACCCAGCCAATTGCACTCTTGGATATTTAACTCACAGAAATAAAAGATTTATATTTACCCAAATCCTACTGATAGCAATTTTATCTGTAATAGCCCCAAACTGGAAACAACTCAGATGTCCTTAAATGGGTGAATGCTTAAAAAAACTGGTATTCATACCATAGACTACTATTCAACAATAAAAAGCAACAAACTATTGATAAATATAGCAACCTGACTGAATCTCCAGAGAATTAGAGCTAGTGAGAAAAATCCAATCTGGAAAAGTTAAATACCAAATGGTTTACTTATAAAACACTTTTGAAATTATGACATGATAGAAATTGCAAAATGTTGGTTGCCAGATTAAGAAGGTGATAAGGACAAGAAGGAAAACGGTATGGCTATAAAAGGGCAATATGAATGATACTTGTAGTGTTAGAAATAATCTATATCTAGACTGTATCAATGTCCATGTTCATATTGTGATACTGTAATACATTTTGGAAGATGTTACAACTGAGGGAAACTGGGTAAAGGGTACAAGGAACTCTCTGTGTTATTTCCTACAGCGGCGTATGAATCCACAATCATCTCAAAATAAAAAAGTTTAACTAACAAATGAATTGGCCATGTATATATGGGGCTGTTCTGTTATACTAATCTATCTTTACATCAATACCACGTGGTCCAGACTACTTGTAGCTTTGCAGAAAGTTCTGAAGGTAGGTTGTGTTAATCTCCCAACTTTGGTTCTTTTTCAAAATATTTTGGCTACTCTAAATTCTTTACATTTTTACAAGAACTTTAGAATTGACTTGTCATTTTCTAAAATGGCTTGCTTGAATTTTGACTGTGATTGGATTGAATCTATAAATCAAGTTGGTATATCTTTTGACTGATTGATTGATTGAATTTCCCTCAGCAATGTTTTGTATGTTTC